AGCAGCAGCCTAAGGGTGCAAGGGGAGGAGGGGCTGCAGGGCCCGGGAGCATCTGCCACTAAGTGGAAACTACGGGAAGAGGGAGGAAGGAAGAACTGTGCCTCCCATCTACCTGCTGCCCTCCCCAGGAGCAGTGAGCAGCCCAGGCTCCTCCCTGGTTTACTGCAGAGCCCTGGGGACCTGGGTGGGGAACTGGGAGGGGGCCGTGAGAAACAGCAGGCTCAAGTGTCCTTTACACAAAGCTTCCCCTCCCCCAGGTTTGCAGGAAAATGAGCCTCAGCCCCTCTTGGGAGGCAGCTGGGACCAACCCTGTCTGCTGTCTCACAGCTGCGGCCACCCTAAAGGCAGACATCACCTGTCCATCAAGGCCCAGGGTCCCTAGGGTGGACAGGTGGTGTCGGGCACAGAGAGCCTGTAGCTGAGCCTCAAGCGGGCACGATACTTTTCTGTCACATGGTGGTCACCTCTGCCCTCAGTGAGCTGTCATGGAGGCCCCTGGGATGGAGGGCAGTGCCTCTGAACACAGCCCTGATTCCTCCCAAAGCACGGGCTGGGGCCGATGGATGATTGCTGGGTGGTGCGGGGTTAGTTCACTGGGAAGGGGCAGGCCCTCTGGTGAGGACCTGTGTGACACCCATCAGTGCAGTGGCTCATGGGACATAGAAGGTGGAGGCTGGAGATGGAGCCCAGCTCCCCATTTCTATGTGGGCAGCCCCAGGCCAGAGCTCTGCTGCCTCCTCCCAGGACAGCCAGCAGCTCCTCCCTGCAGCGTACACACCGGCTCTGGGGCTCTGGTCCGCGGGCATCCACCTATCCAGCAGCGTGGTGGCTGACCAGAGAAATGTATCTCCACAGTTCAAGGCTGGTGGGGCAGGAGCCCAGCCTCTTCTGGCAGCTGCCTTTGCCCCTGTTACTCCTGTCTCTGCCCTCTCTTGAGACTGTTTCAGAAATCTCAGTCTCTGTCAAAGGAATGCCATTGCCTCTTTGACTCAGTCCAGCCCCAGCCGGTGAGTCAGGGTAGGTTCCTCCTCCTCTGAAGAACCCTGTCCCCGCCTTCCATAATACAAAGCAGCATCCAGGGGTCAGGACTCACATGCACTCTCAACCACTACTGGGGTGATAAATCACATTGCACAGGTCTGACCACAGAGCACCCATGGGAAGGGTCAGTGAGGTACACATGCTACAGGAATGTGGAGAACAGAGGGGCCCTTGTGCAGGGGAAGCTTCGTGGGGGAGTAGGGCTTCCAGCAGGATGAAAACTGAGTGGGAATTGGAAGCAGAGAGGAGAGTGTGGATAACAATTAGAAAATAACAGTGAGATCAGGGTTTGCTATAGTTCAATACAAATAGATTGAACAAAAATGGACATTTTGCCTGGCATGGTGGCATACACTTGTAATATCAGCATTCAGGGGACTGAGGCAGGAGGATCACAAATTCAAGGTCAGCCTGGAGATGCATAGAATTCAAGATTAATCTGAGCTTAATGAGACCCCCTCTCAAAAACAAAAAAATAAACACAACAGAGTGAATAAGGCCTTTGGGAAGGGAAGCTGGGCAGTTTTCAGGAAAGGAAGAAGATGCACTCAAGAGTCACATATGAATGATATTTTAGGATGTCCATGCCGTCATTTTCAGAGGAGAAAACTGAGCCCCAGAGAGGTCGGAACACTTGTCCGAAACCAGCCACCTGACACGCACTTGCACTGTGTGCAGAGTGAGGATGTGGCTTGGGGTCTGTCACATGAAGCTTTACAGAGACCACTGGGCATGGACAAGGTCCAGAGCACCACAGGCTGCCAGTACTGCAGGCTCAGTCACAGCGGTCAGCCCTGCCTGCCTGCACACGTGGGTCCTCCTCTGGGCTATCGGGACTGATGTGACCGCAGCAGCACCGGGAGCTGCTGTATCTCCCTCCCAGCCCATATGCGGCTCAGGTCCACAGCAACCTCGGCACAGGAAGCCAGCCCCAAGGCCCCAGACAGTGCCACCAAGCAGACCATATAGATGGGAACATTGAGAGGGAGATTTCACTGGCCACCCACAAGAAGAACACTAACTTAGAAGGACAGTGGGTTTGACATTGAAAGAGGAAAATAGAAAAGTTATTAGGTGAACAAAACTAATTACGGGCTGAGAGAAAGTTGATCTTAAAAGCATTGGGCCAGCGCAGCCACTGACCAGAGAGGCCATTTCTAACCATCCCAGTATTTGCGAGGCTGGCCCGGCCCATGCTGTGCTCCAGCTCCTGCTCAGTTTGTCCTGTAGGTTGTGACAGGCCACCGGCTGCCTTTCTGGCCTTACTCCCAGCCCAATCCCTGCAAAGTTCTACGAATGTTTACAGCCCAAGTAATTGGCAAATTACAATCAGCAGGATCCTGCAAACATTCCTTCCAAGAGCATAATAGCAGGCTGCTTTCTGCTTTCCCAGCAGTGCTCCAGATGAGTTTAAGGAATCTTCAGAACTGTGCAGTTCATTAATCACCTTTGTGTCAGGGTGGGACATTGTTCTTGTTTGCAAGATCAGGAAATCAATATGCTGGTGCCTGAAGTGGTTCAGAGCAGCCTCACGGCTGGAGAAAGATTGGTACTTGAGTAACTCAGGTGGGCCAGGTTATGCTGTGTAACAAGCGGCCCCAGAGCCTTGGACTGTAGCACCCCCACCACTTGTCTGTCAGGGGCTGGGGGTTGGTTCTCATGCTGCCTGATGGAAGGGCCCATCTGGGCTGTCATCACGGACCACGACAGTAGGAAAATGAGGGGCTGTTACAGGGAGTTAGGGTTCCAAGATTCCCGAACTGTAGCCACCGCATCGCTGAAGTCCGCTCTCTTCCTCTTCCTCTCCCTTACTCCCTCCTTTCTTTCTCTCTCTTTTTCTCTCTCTTCCTCTCCTTCCCCCACCCCCCTTCCCTCCCTCTCTTCAACCTTTATTTTTCTATTGTAAATTGTGGAGGTAAACTTGGGCTTCTTCCCTGGAGAGCAGTATACGAGGTGTGATAAACTACAGTGAGATTTTACTTTTTCTTTTCTTGGTGGACTGTAGCAGGAGACACAGTGCCATAACCTCCCTCTTGTTTCAGACTGTTGTCCCGTGGTTCTTGCCACTTTCCGAAGCAGTTCTGGAAGCCCCCTTTTGTGGGTGTCTGCAGATGGTTGCCTTGATAGTAAACCTAACACTTGGCCCCTCGTGCTTAGTTTGACATTGGGGAGGAGCCAGCAGTCCCATGATGCTTGATGCAGTGAGCAGGCGGATGAAGATGCGCTGCAGCGTTCCCACAGGCTGAATTCCTGCCAAGTGCCACTCAACAGCAGTGTCCACTGTGTTTTTGTCACCCCCATAAAGATACTTTCAAAAAACGACTTCTAGAACTGCTCCAGAAAGTAACAAGAATGATAGGATCGGGGTGTGTGAAGTGAGGGGGAGGGGGTGGAGGGGGTTTCTTGGCGGTGTGTCTTTTACCGTAATAAACTTTCTAAGAATTTAAATATTCACAGTACATTTTGATCATCCCATATATAGATCCATAACAAGTCTTAGGGGCTGGGGATTTAGCTCAGCGGCATAAGCGTCTGCCTTGTAAAGCAGGCAGTGGTGAGTTCAATCCTGGGTACTGATAAAAAGGAAAAACACACACACACAAAAAAAAAACATAAAACAAAACAACAACAAAAAAAAACAAGTCTCCTATACAGTAACAAGACTGAATTTTTAAGTTTTTTTTTTTAATTAAAACTATCCATGCAAATTGATGCAAGCCTGGCAAGAGGACTGAAGTCTATTCCTGTGGTGTGGCCTTCTGTTTGTAAGTCACCAGGAAAACTTGCTTTCCTATTGTAGAAGTTCTTATATTAAAAGAGCTGTGGTGGTTGGCCATGGTGGAGCACACCTATAATCCCACCACTCGGGAGGCTGAGGCAGGAGTTCAAAGCCAGTCTGGGCTACAAAGTGAGCTAAGGCCATCCTGAACTGCATGGCGAAACCCTGCCTCAAAAACAAACAAGAATAAATAAGTATACAAATCAGTTGTGGTGACAGGTGTGAGCAGAGGGACACAGCACCACAAAGATGCCAAAAGTCATTCTCCACGCTGTCCAAGGTGACATCCACTACTCTGGTAATTTCTTTAGAGGACTGAGTCACGTTTTCACCTGTTGGCTCCCAAACCTGACTTTACACCCTGCGGTGCTGGACATGGAAGCAAGGCCTTGTGCACTTTAGGTAGATGCTCTCCCTCTGAGCTCCCCGATGCTCACAGAGACACTGGTATCTGTGAGTGCTTAGCTCAATGCCTGCCACACATAAATGTGAGTAGTTCTGTGCTCGTGATCGCTTACCCTGGGATCCGGAGACCTCACGGTGGTGCAAAAGCCCAGGATTCCGTGGAAGCCACACTTGGTATTTTGGATTTGGATCTTCTCCCTGGGCTAGTGCTACGTGGCACGATCCTCTGGGAGATCCTGGGCAACGGTGGTGATGGGAAGCCTCCGTCCCCCTGGATTACAAGGTGAGCCACCGAGGATGTACAGTGCACTGTGCTGCCCACAGGTCAACAGGAGCGAATTCCTTTTTCACTTAGTGATACTTTCAACTTACAGTGGGCTTTTTGGGAAGTAGCCTCCTCAGAAATACAGAAGCATCTGTATTGGTGTTAAATATATTGACTTTTAAAAAAAAATTAGGCCATTTTCCTCCAATTCAAAATCAGTTATAAGGCAGGAAAGTCATCAGACCTGACAGCCCTGCCAAAAGCTAGTGCCATTGGTTGGTAGAACAAAAGCAAGTAGAAAATAAGAAAGTCTGCATTTCTGGCCACCCTTCCCTTGCCTGTTTGTTCGGTGCCCTCTCGGTCTGTTGGTTTTATAAAACTCACTTGCATTTATGTACAATGTTTGAACTTTGAGGCCTTGCACTGAGCAAAAGATAGAAACCTGAGACTACACATTTTAGGAAACTCGGCTCTGGTCACTTAACTTTTTCACTCTGTGTTCTCCCCCAGCCCAAGCTTCTGGCCAAGGAGCTGCTTGATCTCGTGGCATCTCACTTCAACCTGAAGGAAAAGGAGTACTTTGGGATCGCCTTCACCGATGAGACGTAAGTGTCACTGGCACCCTGGGCGCCGGAGGACACGGCAGGGCCAGCAACTACAGCCTCCAAAGTGAGCTCCGAATCAGCTGCAAGCCAGCTGCGTCCGTGGTTGGGGGTCAGTCCAGGTTCACCATCCGGATTTCAAAATGCTCACAATCCCCAGCCTGGAACAGCCGCAGGCTGTAATTAGGGTGATGCTAATATTGTGAAATCGTTAGGTGAACTCATTCTTATAATCAAGCAGGTTCATATTCAGACCAAAATGTTTATTTTTCTTCAAAAGTGTATCTGTATGGGTTTGGTTTTCATTAAAGTTAAACGAAAACTTCTGGAAAATTAAATGATTCTCTCCAGTATTGGATTAATACTAACAGGAAGTAAATTTGATGATAAATTCAAAATGAAAACTATCTGGGCAGTTTGACCATCTAAGCTGAAACAGGATACAGAAATCAGAAATTCAGATCAGTCATCTGATGAGACGTATATTTACTTTCAGTAGTTTTTCAGTTTAGTTTTATAAAGTGATGTTTTGCAATACAAGGAAAGAATATCTACTAAAATTTCTATTTTGTATTAATGCACTATTATCAAAAGATAACTGAATACCACCCAAATTCCTAGATAAGAATAAGCAATCCTAAGCGATTGTACCATAATTTTCTCTGTGTATATCCATGTATACCTATGTAAACCTTAGAGTTGTGGAGATGGTTTTCAAAGATGGTTACCAATCAGTTTGATTAGCGGGTGGGTCGAATGGCTCATGCCCCAGGAATCTGTGGTATCATCAAGGCAGGACCAGTTCCAAAGTAAGAGCAGGTGCCAGTCATACTGGTCAGATGAATGACCACGTGTACTTGTGCATGGCTACCCTTGGCCTCAGGGAGCTGCAAATGGACAAGGGTCTATATCCTGTTATTCAGATGGAGTTGCCAGGGATAAAAGGGTTTCTAGCTCAGGCTGTGTCAGGCAAATTGGAACATACAGTCATCCTGTCAGTCAGTGGTATTTGGAGCAGCAGTGTGTTAGGAGCAAAGCCATGTCCTCCTCAAGATCAAGGTCAGCCCTGCTTCTGGAGCCTATAGGCAACTGAGGCCTTCCTGTGGCAGGAAGGTCACTCTTGTCTGAGGCCTTGCTGGCCTCCAGATGGAACCCAGTAAGGTCAGATGGGAGGAGAGGCTTGTGCAGGAGAGGAGCCAGCAGAGTAATCAAAAACAAAATACTTTTAAGCAACTGAACATCTAGAACAATTACTTCCATGAATGAAAAAATATTCTACTCTTTCTCTTGAGAATCACTGTAAGTCCCTTAAATTGCTCTTCACATTGTTTCCACTAATTAGAAGGAAACTGTATGCTTCAATTAATCATATCTCATTGTTCCCATTTCCCACATAAGTTTACTCAACAAAAAGATTCCTGAACTCCTGATCAGACTAGACTTCCCCTTTGAATTAACAAGAGTCAATTATCCTGGGCCTAATGGGCAGAGGTCTGACCACTAACAACTCAGCAGCAGGAATCAGTTGAAAGGGAGAGAGTCCCTCTTCTCCCTTGAAAGAGAGGGGACAAAAGCCAGCATCACGGAAGGGAGATGCAGGCCACATAACCGTACAGCTGAGTAACTGTGCAGGGCTGAGCAACACTGGCGGGTGGTCCAGAAGAGTGAGTATGTGTGCACGTGAGTGTGGCAAGCCGGAGAGAAGCATGGTTTCCACCCGGTAGTGGTGTTAGCGGAGAGTAAGGTCCATAGACTATGTGACCACCACCACTGCTCTTGCCCATGTGGCCAGCTGGGTTTCTCCAGTGGTGGCAGGAGTGGCAGTGACCAGGGGCTGGTGCTGGCAGGTACGTCTGCTGTGTAGGAAGGGGGCCAGCGTCAGGGGCCCAGAAGGAATCAAGGACCAGGGCTCCAGAGGGTCAGCACAGGAAGACACCAGGATTCAGGATGGTGCTTCGTGTCTGGTAGTGTCCTAGCTGACAAAGAGCCCCTGGGTGGAAATGGAAGAACAAAATTCACCCCACACAATTTTGTCTGTGAGTGGGAGCTGGTTTGGGTTGATAATTCCTGTGTCAGAAAGTGCTGGCCCAGCTTTAGAGTCTGTCCCCACCCTTCCCTCTGTGTGGAAAGGGTTCTTCGGTTTTTTGAGACAGTCTCTGTATGTAGTCCAGGTTGGCTTTAAATTCCCTACAAACTCCTGGCAATGATCCTCCCGTGTCAGCCTCCCCAGTGCTGGGATTGCAGGGCTGTGCCACCACATCCAACAAGAGAAATAAATTCCTTTACTTATTTATGCAGTGCTGGGAATCAAACCCAGGGTCTCACAATTGCTAGGTGTTATGGCTGTGTCTACATGTCCCCTAAAGCCCTATGTGGTCATAGGTGGGGCTTTTCAGAGGCGGCTGAATCTAGACTGTGTGATGCTGGGATCAAGGGTATGTGATAACTAAATTAGTCCACTGAATGATTTGGCACCACCCTAATCCTAGTAGTCTGGATAAAATAAAAGGAGGCAGAAAGCCGCTGTTAAGCTCCTTGTTGTTTTTGCTGTCCTCCATTGCCAAGAACGGTTGCCCCTCTGCCATGCCACCCTGCCTTGGAGTCAGCTGGTTATGGACGGAAACCTCTACAAACTGAGCCAGATAGAACTTTCCTCCCTTAACTTTGGGCGTCAGGTGTTTCATCTTAGTAATAAGTACCCAGGACACTGGGCAAACACTAGAACGCATCCCCATCCTTCCCCTAACAGAGTCTTCAGATCAGGCAGTGAGGTCTGTGTGTGCTCTGTGCCTTAGGCACGTGCTACTCTGCTGGACAGTGAAGGGCAGCAGAAGCTCTGTCCTTGTGGCAACCTGTGTGTGACAGACGACATAGTTTGCCTAATGCACCCTTTGGTCAGCGCTTGGGAGCTGCAAATGCAGAATCACTGGCCACAGTGGGGGTCCTTGAAAAAATGAGTCTCAGGCCATGGATCGTCTGTAGTTCTTCCAATACTACTTCTTGTTAATGATGTTTTGTGAGATGTAGATGCCAGCTCAGAAAACATATCTGAAACAAAATGCAGAGAAGAAATTGGGAGTTTCTCTTAGCAGCTCTCACTGACAAGTTATATTAATTATTAATAAAGTGTCTAAGTCCACAGTGAAAGAGTTATGCCTGAGAATATTTAGTGCTAGTAGTAATCAACATTTTAGCAGCATTGAAACTCATTCTTCCTTCTCCAATTTTTTAACATGTTTTTCTTTGTAGTACTGAGGATTGATCCCTGAGCTCTACATATGCTACACTGGGTTTACAGTGTAATCCACCACGCCTGCCTTCCCTGTTTTTGAAAAAGTTAAGAAATATGTAGAAATGCGAAGGAATAAAAGGAAAAACTCAGGCATTAGTGTACTGTTTAAGAACTGAGTACAGCTGGGCGTAGTGGCACATACCTGTAGTCCCAGCACTCAGGCGATTGAAGCAAGAGGATCTCCTTGAGTTCCAGGCCAGCCTGGGCTACCTAGTGAGTTCAAGGGCAGCCTGAACTGCAGAACAAGACCCTGTATCTCAAAAAAATTTTAAAAAATAAACCAAATCCTGGTAGAATTGGAATGTGTTTGTACGTATCAATTGAGAAAATGAGCAGTTCTTAACCTATTATTTCGTCACCAACCCTCTGAGATGAAGAAATTATATTCCTTCTTTTCACAAAGGTTTACATATAAAATTTTTGCTGACATTTTAGTGATTCGGAAGGGCGTCTGCAGATGTGGTGCCCAGCGTGCTGGCTCCTAGGTGCATGCATCCTCTGGCTTTGGCCTTGCCTCTGCCTGAACCTAGCCTTTGCTCCAATGGCCAAGGCATCTGCAGAGGCCCTAGTAGACAAGCAAGCTTACCTACCACTGAAACGTCAGCGAAGTACAAAAGCAAGTTCCCAGTTGTGGTAGCCACTTGGGGGTACAGTATATTTGGAAAGGAGCCTGGGGTTTCCATTCATGAACTCCAGCGTGAGGAGGGGGACACAGGACAGGAGAAAGTCTGCAGCCATGGTCTCCTGCAGGGCTGTCCTAGGCCTCAGGGACTTGGCCTTGAGCTACCCCAGTGGAGCAGGCATCTTGTATCTAGTGATTCTGGAAGGTGTGCACACAACTCTCTTGTGTATAGCCCAGGTAAATAAAGAATGGTAGTGCGGTCCCGGAGGTCTAGAGGCCCAGTTCCTCCTCACCTTTCCTGCCCAGTGGACATGGTGTTGAGGAGCCCAGGCCTGGGCCGGGGAGCAGAGTGAAGCCTTCATGTGGGACCATTTAGTTAAGGGCGAACCCAGTGTCTACCCCCAGTGGCAGTTGAATATTATGGAGCTGAGGCATTCAGCTGCTTAACAAGTAATTTACTTAGTATCCCCTGTTAACCCTTGGGCTCCAGAAAGAATGGTCTTTTGGGGCTTGTGTTATTCAGGAGGTGATTAATAAGTCATTGTGGGAGGGGTTGTAAAGAGAGTTTGAAACAGTTGTAAGACATCATAGTGGGGAAACGATTCCTCCATAAATAAACAATTAAAGTCAGAAATTCCCATTGGAATGAATAGCTCCTGAGTTAGTAACTTGGTCTCCCTAGTACTTGCCCTGCCTTGACCATGTTCTGCTATTCGAGGGTTTCAAGCTAAACGGGTGTCCCTGGGCTCTTCTGGAAAAGCCAGTGCACTTCAGAATCAAGGACACCAAGGAACTACCATCCTTACCCCAAGTGTCTCCCACATGCCCACCTCCATCCAGCAAGAATGTCAGATGCATGCTTTGACTTTTTGCAGAAACCCACTCCGTAAGAAGTAATCTGTCTACAGTGGAAGGGTCTAAAAAGCGCAGGTACCCTTCTCTCTCTAGGTCATGAGAAGGGATGAGTTAAGACAGACTTGTCACACCCCCAGCTCAGGAACTCTAGAAGCAAAGCTCTCCCCGAGGCCACCTCCACTGAAGGTGCCAACACTTGAATCAAAAATCTGTTTCTAGTAGCTAAAAGTGATTTTTAAAAAAAAAATGCACCCAATTTCTATTGCCTGGAAGCTATTGCATATTTTATTACAGACTCAATATTTTGACTTAGTGCAACCAAAAATGAGTGTTATCTCCATCAGCTTTAGAGACAGGTATCAGCAAGGTAATAAAAGAGTACTCCGTCCACATTGGTAATATTTATTTATTTACTTACCCACAATTTTATTTTTGGCTTTGTTATTGGCAAATGTGAATTCTTAAATGGAAAATTATGGGGTTTATGAAAGCCAAGCTATTTGGCATCTCTTAGTTAACTGTACACAGGAAATACTTGTGCGTCTCCCTCAAAAAATGGCTTGAGAGCTGAGTGTGTCAGTGTGTGCCTATAATCCCAGCTCTCTGGGAGACGGAGGCAGAAAGCGCAATGTTTGAGTTTAACCTGGGCAACTTAGCAACTCAGCGAGGCTCCCTCAGAAAGAAAACGGGAGAAAAGGAGAGAAGGGAGGAAGGCAGGTAGATAAGGCAGGCAAGCAGGAGACGTAGTTCTGTGTGGGGGCCGTGGGTTCCATCTGCAGAACTTCAGACCAAGTAAAATAAGCAGAGACAGCACTGTAACAAATCTTACTGCAGCTTACACCAGAGGTCCCACATTACAGTTCCCACATAACTCTAATCCATCCTTTAGCTTTTGCCCAAATAATTGGCACTCACCTAAGGGACCTTGGGTGAATTTCTTGTTCCCTCAGCCTCTCTCTTTGTCAGCAGCCTTCAGGAGACTTTTATAGGGCCTTAAAATGGGGAGGGGACTCCTCCTGCGAGTCCGTGAGCTGTGCATGTGAGGAAGCCACTTCTCCGGGGATAGTATGTGTCAGCCACTCCTTACAGAGTTACGGTGAAGAGTTGGCAGAAGTGGTGGGAAAGGAGACCCACTGTTCCTTAGAGACTCTTTAATTTAGGGTGATTCCCCCTCACTCTCGTTACTTCCTAGCCATTTTTCTTACATTATTTTCTCATCAGTTGCTTGATAAAATCAAGACCCATATGCAGTCAGGAAGAAAGGGACTTCCCGTTAAGTGAGTTCATTACTGATGTAGGGAGCGGAGCAGTTGAGAGCTGGAATCCACCCATTCTCCGTCAGCATGGTCGAAGAAGGGTGGGCAGTGAGCCACTAACAGTGGTATCCAAGGGACAGCGGTGCCTCTCTGTTCCTTTTGACGTTCTTCAGCTTGTGAATGACGCCCCCAGGGACCTCAGGCTCGGCCAGCACCCCGTGCGGTCAGTAGTGTTGTCCCTTAGGCTGGGCTGAGGATTTCTCAATCCCAGGCCTTTGCCTGATTGCAAGAGAGCACACTGGAACATTCTGTTTCTCAGGTCTTCCTCCTTCTCGGCCTTGTAGGCCGGGGAGAAGTCCCCGTATCTTTGTACCATTGCGGTCTGTGTGTAATTCAAAGATTTCTCATGTGAGGATCATGAAAAGGCTGCTGTCATCAGACCCTTAATTAAGAAATCTTATGAGACCGAAGGTAAAAATTTAAATGTGCATGATCATGAGTAGATTGCCTTCCTAAGCAATAACTCATTCAAGAACATTCTGCCCTTTAGAGCCCTGATATTTCCCAGGCACTGTGCTATATTCTGAGGAATTAAAAAAAAAAAAAAAACTGTTAAAAACTTAGAATTAATTTGCAGCTACAGGTCTTATTTGTCACGTAATTTTATAAGATGGGGCTAATTGCCTCCTAGATGCCACAATCCAAAACCTTCAGATTTATTTCTGTCCATGGTTTCAGGGGTGTCAGCCTATGGCCACTCGGCCCTGTTGCTTTGAAGCAGGGCTGAGGCACCACATCATGGCAGGAGCACAAGGCGGAGCAAAGGCAGACAGGAAATAAAGGACAGGAAAGGGCTGGGCTCCCAGGGTCGCTTTCAAGCCCACTCCCGACCCGTACCTCACTTCCTCCACTAGGCTTTGACTCTTAAGGTTCCACCACCTGCCAATCTCACCACAGGCTGAGGACAAAACCTGCAGAGCATGAGTCTTTGGAGGACCTTCAACACAGAAGTCTCCAGCAGTCAGTCTAAAGGGAGGACTTGGAACTCAGCCTGGATCAGTGCCCAGGCTGAGCATTTGGTGAAGAAGATGGAGAGACAGGCCTGGCTCCCGAGCAGGAGAAGCACTGAGAGTCAGGTGGTGTGCAGCCGGCAGAGGACACCTTTGGGAGGCTGGGCAGGGAGAGAAGCCTCTGAGAGTCCCGGGTTCTGCAGAGGCAGGGCGTGGCTGTGGCTTATTACCCTTCCAGCATGTGTCCAACACCATCCATGCGATCTGCATGCACATTTTGATCTTGTGAGACAGGTTGGAGACATTGTCAGATGTAGGAAGACTACAGAGAACATTGAGCCTGATGCAGGAACAACCGACTGGGGTTAGGGGTGGAGCCCCAAGGGAGACCGGGGCTGGTCAGGGCTTTTTTGTGGCACAGTAGGGCCATGTGTTTGAGCATGGGCTGGACTGCTGAGTGAAGGAGTGGGGCAGGGGCATCCTGGGCTGAGGGAGCAGCAGGAGCTGAGGCGCAGAGGGATCCCTGCAGGGTGTCGCTGGCTTTCGGCTGTGCCCAGCTATGATGTTGGCACCCTGTCCTTCTGTCCCATGATCCTGTGCCCCAGGTGAATGGCAGCTTTGATGGCCCTGTCAGTTTACTTAGAAACATTTGTGGGTTTTTTTATTCCTTCCTGTATTCAGAGCAAAGTAATTAAAAAAAAACAACACAACAGTGAACAGGAAGAGTTTTTCCAAGTAGAGATTGTTAGGGTGAAGCAATAAAGGCCCAGTGCATCAGAGGATGCTATTCAGAGGCAGAGCGAGTGCCCTCCCAAAGGCACAGACTTAACCCAACGAAAGGTTTCATTATGGCTATTGTTCTTTGTCTGTTTCCTTGTCCAAAAGGTGTAAATTGAATGATGGTTCAGAAGGGGGACAGAAGCATGTGATAGAAGAAGTGAGTTTAAGCAGTGATGCGGACAGACTTTCTTTCCATTGACCCTCTCACAGGCACGTCCATTCCAGCGCTGGTGCTGCCCACAGTCACTTGAGCAAATGCAGGCCATAGGTCTGCTCAGTGTGAGTGCAGTTGTAAAGTAGTGACAGGTCCCACGTGCTCCAGGATGTTGAGCTGAGGCAGGAAAGAACAAATCACAGCTGGAGCCAGGACTGTGTATCCTCCAGGGTGCTGCCCACCTCTCCCTGTTACACAACTCTCAGGTGCTGGGTTTCTTCTCAACCCAGGGCCTTTGCATGTGCTGCTTTCCTGTTAGGAAGACGGTTCCCATTTCTCTAATCCAAGTAAACACTACACTGCTAATCAGTGCAAACACCAGGAAGTGCTTCTTGGACCCCCGCACTAGATCAGCTCCATCCAGTTCTCCCAGCTCATGGTCCCAGTGCTAGTGGCACTTACATAGCTAACTGCAGAACAGCAGTTGAGTGTCAGTCTCTGGAAGAACACAGGCTCGGGGAGGGAAGAAAGAGCATGCTGACTGCCTTCTGCTGCACATCTGAGTGCTTGTGTAGAGCCGCAGGTCTGTGTTCCTAGAGAAAGAGGAGAGCAGGAGAAGAAGCACCAAAGGAGCTCTACCAGCCCCTCACCTCATGTTGCTGTGGTTTATATTCTAAATGGCGCATGATGTGCAAAAGTGTGCGGTGCTGAGTTTTAGCCATGTGTCTACATCTGTGTAGTCCTTACCACGGGGAAGACCACGTACACACCCATCACCGCAAATGTCCCTTCTTATGTCCCTCACACCCCCAGGCTGCCTGAGCTGCTTTCGGCCACTGTAGATTACTCTGTGCTCTCTTGATCTTTATATAAATGCAGCCACACAGTCTGTACATTTTTCAAACTAAGGCTTCTTTACTTAGCATAGTGGTTTTGCATCCCATCCCTGCTGCTGCATGTGGCAGTACCGCCTTCTCTGCACTGCTGCATGGAATCTGCGGTGTGAAGATATCACCGCTCGTCCCCCCAGCCCCCTATTGGCAAATGCTGGGGTTCTCTCAGATTTAGGGTTGTCTCTGAGATGTGTGTTCATGTACAGTATTATGCAGGCAGCGACTGGGAAGTGTCAGAACAATAATGTAAGAGTCTTTAGACAAATGCTTTCATTTTAGGGTGAATACACTGGAGGAAATCCACTCTAGTGGGTATGAGTTTGATTATTGTAAGAAACTGTCATGGCTGACTTTTTACCCCATGTGCTTGGCAGGATGCTGTGAGCATGATTAATGTGTTTCTGCAGGGCATTTTGAGTCCTCCTGCTTTGAAAGGTGGTCAAGAGTTGTGTGAGGTCACTTTAGGACAGGAGGGAGGTTCCTAGTACCTTCTCTCTCAGCACAGTACAGGAAGCTGGCGGAGGGTCTCAGCCCCAACTTGGAGGTTCCTTGATTTTGGCATCTCCCTGATGTTCAGTTCCCCTGGGGATTCTTTTGGCTTTGTTCCTGGCAAGATACAAGTGAAGAAGGTCCAGCATGCTGTGTCCACATGGACATCCATCTCGGAACACCACTGCAGAGTCCACAGCCCTAACCCATTTGTCTCTGTCTTCCTCAGGGGCCACTTAAACTGGCTGCAGTTAGACCGGAGAGTTTTGGAGCACGATTTCCCTAAAAAGTCGGGACCCGTGGTTTTGTACTTCTGTGTCAGGTACGTACACCTAGAAGTCCCTCCATGGTACCATGTGAGTAACGCTTGTAAGGTAAAGTGACTTAAAGGACAGGGAAGCCACATCCATCCTGACTCTGTGCAGGGGATAAAGATTGTAGCAGGCTGCATTTAGGGCAGATGCGAACACAGGTGTGAGCGTGCAAGGTATATGTTTGCCTTCTTGCACTAGGATGCATGTGTGGAATGATCCTAGCACTTGTTTGGAGTGCTGTGGGGGATCTGGAGAGGGCCATGGATCTCAAACTAAACACGCCCTGGAATGCTCTGTGGCAGTTGGCTAGAGCTCTGTAACAAAAGTCCCTATTTCCTTTCTTTCTGTCACCAAGGCTGCTGAGTCTTGAAATGTACGTGTTTTATCCCAAATAGCTCAGTGCATTTCCCGGCAAGGGAGGAGAAAGTGTAGAAAAGTATTATAATAGAAGTTGTTCTGTGCTCCCTCATCTGTTCTGGGAAATTTCACTTGATTGCAAAGGAAACTACAATTGTGACGAAGCGATCTGAGAGTCTTTTACGGATGACAGGATTGATCACATCTTGACAGGATTGATCGCATCTTGACAGGATTGATCGCATCTGTTGGCAAAAGGGTATGGGAAGCTGCAGGGGGCAAAGTGGCCAAGTCAGAGTTAAAGCCCCCGGTCCAGCAGCTGTATGGAGCCCTGGGCTCTTTTCTCTAGATTGCAGCAGAGTCGGGTGGAGGTTTTGGTTTGTTTGTTTGTTTTGCCATGCTGGAGATGGAACCTAGGCCTTGACTAGTTAAGGCAAGCACTCTATACTGAACCACATGCCCGGGCCTTCGAATGGTCACTGTTTATGGGTCACACTACCCACACACAGACTCTGCCGCTTTAAAATATATGCTACACAACCTCATGGCTTGCAATCATTTCTCCCTACAGACCAAGGTCAGTCTTGCAGTTCTGGGCTTTGCCATCTCAAGCCCACAGACAGCACTAAAAAGAGTCCAAAATAAGAGTTCAGGGGGTCCCCTTACCAGGCTGGAGGGTCCATTACCTCAGCCGGCAGAGTGAATTTAAACTACATTTAGTGCCTTTTCTATTTGTTTAATGGCTGCAGACGTACACAATCTCAGCTGCTTCCAGTACTGATGGGAAGGATGTTAATGCCGTGTGATCTTTAATGGTATGCACTGTTTCTCAGACTAGTGGAAAGTAGCCCTACAGGACCAAGGTTCAGTTCTGCAGGGAGGAGCAGGGATGGTCGGCAAGATCCCGGGGGAGTGGCCGCTTTGCTGACCTGTCTTCAGAGCGGATGCTGGCCTTGGCCGTGTGGAACCGGCCTCCTCGCTGTGCATTTATCTCGATCACTGAGATTTTAGGGGCTGTGCTGAGGATTTGGGCATGGACACTGCAATCTATTTTTAACAAATGTTCCAAAAATCTACAAGACCATGTATTGGGATTCTTTCATAAACAGTTATCCCAGCTTCATATCTGGATGCAAGATTTCCCTGAGATGTGATCAAGTACTGGAATGTCGATAAGCTGTTACCTAAACCCTACCATCTCACGGTTCATACCACGGGTTCAGATTATCAGCTTTTCCAAAGTTATTACTAGGAAAACCGGACTAACACAACTTGTTACTGAGTTGGCTAGACTTTTTTTTTTTTTTTTAAGATAGAGTTTTCCTAAATTACTTACACTGGCCTCAAACTTGCGATTCTCCTGCCTCAGCATCCTAAGATGCTGGGATTGTAGGGAGAGCACGTACACACTTCTGATAGGGCAGTGATCAAGGAACAGTTTTCTTTAGGAAGAAGATCTCCTGAAAACAGCATGGGGAGAGAATTTAAAAGGTCCAAGACCTGTTCAGTTCAGGGCTGTCGCGCAGGGTTGCCGTTCTGTGTGCTGTGTGATGAATGCACCTTCTGCCTGCAGAATGGTAAGCCGACCTCGACCACTGCAGCCTCCTCCTTCCACTATTTTCTGTTTGTAACAAAAAGTAAACAACCAGCAATGGATTTCACCTCCTTATGAAAATAATTTACACTTAAAAATGGGATGAGATGGGATTTTGTCCTTCATGAAGAAAGATGTTTCTTTTCCTGGTGCCTCTTACTTGGTGTCGTTAGCCAAGACTAGAGCAACTTTCTCATTGTTGAGAATGTAGCTCAGTGCAAAGGCCCTGGGTTCAAGTTTTTAGAAATCTGTAAGAGTGCAGGCCAAGTAATCAGCTCCATTCACCAGACAGGAAAAATAAAGCTCGTGTATGAGAGAACTTGAACTTGATTGAACAAGGAGAATTCTGCTCCACCCCCCTGCAGAGGGTCGAAAGCTGGTGCCGTGCTGCAGGACATTTGAGAAGAACATGATGGGAGACTCCCTTGCCTTAAGGTCAATGGTCAGCTCACTGGGAATGATCACAGGAGGCGTCAGGGTCTTAGGAAGCATTCAAGAAGGGAAAAGCCAGAGAGCAGAGCTATGCATATGAAGCATGTCCTTATAGTACCCTCAAGCCCATGGTGAGGCACTCTGAGAGCCCCAGTGTGTGCCTGAAAGTGCAGGAAATACCAAGCCCTGCATCCTGTGTTCCCCCGTGCACAAGAGAGATGTGCGTGTACCTGTGATAAAACTTAATTTACACTTGAGGTACAAAAAGAAAGTAACTGTCAATCAGTAATAAAACGGAGCGGTTCTAACAACACACTATGAAAGTTATGGGAATGTGGACTGTCTTGAAAGATCATTTCAGACTGCTGTTCACTGCAGGTAACCAACACTGGTGAACGAAAGGGCAGACTGGGGCCAGGGAACCCAGCATGGATGGCAGCTTAGGGCTGGGGATGTAGCGCAGCGGCAGACGGCTTACTTAGCATGTGGGAAGCCTTGGGTTCATTCTTCAACATGCGTGTGCATGCGTGTGCGCGCGCAGACACACACACACACACACACACACACACACACACACACACAGTGAGCAGTGGTACTCACAGCATGCCTTAAGCAGGTATGATCATCTCAGTAAATGAAAAGAAATGGAGACCCGGTAGAGGCCGAGTACATTCTCCCTCAGCATGGCTGGAGCCAAGATAAATCTGATCCACTAAAGCTACCTCCAGCCTTGTCCGTGCACCATTTGACATGTGTCTCAGCAAGTAAAAAGCCGCCCCTGACTGGCACCCCTGCTGCTGCACCCCACCTGCACCTGTCCAGCCGGTGTTCACCCAAAAGGCTGCACTAGGGCCAAGTGCACACTGGCCCAGGTGATAGTGACTGCACCAGCATGACCCAGTTCTTAGAAACTCCTGGTCCCGTTCACCATTTCCTGACTGTGCACACACAGGAGGGTCTGTGCCCCAAACTGCTCTTTCTTCACTGATAACGAAAACTCATCATCACCCCAAGCTGCTGGGCTGTTAGAGCAAAATCTATATCTACCACAGCATCGGTTCAGTGGTCTCCACCATCCACCAGCTCCTGATCAACCCGCAGATGTCCAAGGCTGTGGTCAAGAGCAGGGACCACAAGCGAACATTCCCAGCTCCTGGCACCTGTCCTCCTGCCCTCTGTACCTCTTTGCCAATGTGATTCAAAGCCCTGGCATACCTTCCAGTTGTCTCTGCCTAGGACTTCTTTCAGCCCAGTTACACACACACACACACACACACACACACACACACACACACACGAACCTTACTCCCTCCCCAGCCCTGCACAAGGGTAGGTGATGGGGGTGACCAATCTCCCTTACACCATCAGTTCTATGTTCTATGAGGTGTGCCCACTTCAGGGTTTCTGTGTCCCCCGTGATGGCTTCACCTCCCCCTGCAGAATCCATAGCAGACCCAAACCCTTTTCTTTAAGAGTGTGGTGTTGCTCTCCATGGCCTTCTTGTGCGTGCACTACACACATGTGTGCACAGTCGCATCCGGGGAAACGTGGCCCTCGTCCTACCATCAGCACTGTGGAGCTCACATTTTGCGGCTCCCGCACCTTCCACCGCTTCCAAGTGCTTTCTCCCTCCGCTCTTGCTCCCAGTCTCAGGCTGCTGCTTCTCCACAGAGCCCTCCCCTCATGGCCGCAGCTCACCCTGCTTTCCGCTCACCCACCCCAGCTGCTGCCTTTCTCTTTACTCACAGCAGAAGCCAGAAGGATGGATCTACACTGCTGTGTGCCCTCCACATCTCTCACTTTCTCCTCTGTTGCTGGCATCTGGCCCTGGTCCCATCACAACCGTGGTCACCGGGGGACTCTAGCCCCAAAGCCCCTCACCCCTTTGCCCTGCCCTGACATGGCCCCGGGACTCTGACCTCTGAGGAACCACACACCTTTAGGGCTCTCAGCTCATCTTGATGCCTTCCCCACCTGAGTGCAGGGTTTCACCCTGTCTGTGCCTGCCAATACTCTGCCTTCACTGCAGACACCAGGTCCTTGCCCCGTCCTGACTTCTGTCCATTTCCAGCCCTCTCCACGGCTGTGCCCACGCGGGACCTGCAGCCTGAGTCCAGGGCATCATCCTCTTTCCGACCAGTCCTCTCTGGTCAGCAACTGCCTGTGAGGCTAGAGCTCCGCCCATGCAGCTCTGGAGCCGGAAACACACGGTCCGGCCCAGACTTCACCTCTGCATCCCACTGCACCCCAGTCTATCCTCACTACTTCTCTGTTCCTCACCTCAGAGAGCTGGTAACAGCCCCCCTCTGCTCCCCAGGCCTGGCTCCTGGATGTCATTTGGCCCTTTTTAGCCTTTCATGGGTGTGCAGCCCCCTTGCACTGCTTCTGGCCTTGGCATCTGCCAGTCTCCCCTCTAGGTAACCACAGAACATCTTTCTAGAATTTTCATCTGGCCCTTGGTCATCATTTTCTCTGGTACCCATCAGCCTTCAGGATAAAAAAACACCCTAAATGTGTCTTGTATTGTCTGACTTTTCCGACCTGCCCTGCCTACTCTCTTCCCAGTACCCACCACACCAGTCAACAGAGGGCCAACAACATCTTCAACCGCAAAGCATTGTTTACTGCTTCAAGGGCAAGTTCTTGAAAGTTGGGAACAGTGACTGTCTTCTTGTCCATCAGGAGAGCTTCAGAAATAGGTCAAGGAGAAGCAAAATACAGCAACACACTCGGGCAAGTCCCTGGGGCTTTTTGTGGGTACATTTGTGTGTTCAGAATGGTTCCACAGGCCAGAACTGCCATCGTGTGTCCCTACAACCGTGGGCATTTACACCATTTGTGGGAATATGAACAGAGATTAGATTTGTCTCCTCAAACTTTGGGTTGCACAAACAATAAACCGAAGTGGACAGTAGGGAAAAGAAGGCAGAAAGGAAATGCCAGGAAACCTTTATCCAGGAGAGAGCATTTCACAGCCTCAACACGGACTTGACTGTCAATGCGTCCCTTGCTGACTGGGACAGAACTGCTACTTCCAGTTCCTTGCAAGAGAGCAGTGATGGTACATCTCTAAAATGAGTGCCCGCTAAGCAGACCTTGCTATAATCCAGCTGAGAGTCCCAGGGAAGGCTGCAGCGTTATTGAAATTCTACACGTCAGAGGTATGCAGCCAAGGCAGAGCAGTTTATCATTGTCATTATTATTGCTTTTCTTTTTGATACCAAAAGCCAGTGTTCCAAATGCAGCATTTGTGTTCGTTACAAAATGAAATCGCTGGTCCATTTAATTAACACTAGCTGTGAATGTTCAGCGGTTCCCCAGGGCCAGGGTGGCTGCACGAAGAAGGCGAGGAGAAGGGGCGGAGGGGAGCCTGGTGGATGCCATGTGGCTTGCAGAGTTCAGTTGGTGCCAGCCTGAGTGTGACACAGCTGGGGTAAGGGACTAGGAGCATCTGAAATAACAGCCAAACATCCAGGGCTGCTGAATGCGTGGAGGAACCTACCTTAGAATGGGTTTCACTGTACTTGGTATACGGCCAGCAGGGCCAGCGGCCACTGCACTGCAACGAGTTTGTTCTCACATCCCCAGGCCTGCCACCATGCTGCACAGGCCACTCCTGGAGGGGCAGCGGTCAGGTCAGGAGTGGGTTGGGCAGCATGAGCAGAGCCCTTATTGTGGGGAAGAGCCCAAGAGGCCAGGGAAGCAGGCTCAGCACTGCCAGTTTGAATGATTTCTGTGGCTCTGCCTGGCCCGTGCCCTTGGGATGGTCAGGGTAGGGGACAGGGAAGTGGTAGGAGGGACGTGTGGGTTCTCCTGGGACCTGGCATGGGGCAGCTGCAGCCCTCACTTGGGGGTGCACTATCTAAACATTGCTCCCCAGGAGGAGCAGTCCGTCCAGGGCCAGCACAGCATCCTAAAGACATGATTAACACACATCGGGCTCGGGAGGTCCATAGGGACTCCCGAATCTAAGACCTAGTGTTCTTTGTGAGCCTACATGGTAAGCCCAAAAAGTGCCCACCCAGGGAGGGAAGGAAAGGCCACAGCGCCACCTACTGCCAAGGAGGAGAACCGTGTGCGAACCCTCCATGAAAATCAAAGAAACTGAATTCTTAGAAAAGCAGACAGTGGACCAGTGCAACCATCAGCACTCGTCCTCCCCAGACAGTCTGGTCGCCCGGGGTCATTGATGTGCAAATGGAGACATCTCTGCGCTTTCCTCCTGACGTTTGTGCCTGAGCAGCCCTCTGGTGCACGGTGGAAGGCTCAGGACAGTAACCGTGCATCCGTGGTTACAGGAAGGGAATGGAAGCCCCACACCGCCGGGTTTGCGGCTGTTGTCTGGATGATAAAGGTTAACAGGAACCTGCTTTCCAGCGTCTGTCAAGAGGCAGGAGTTTTCCTGTGTCTCACAATATGCTTGTTATTTCCTCCGACTTCCTCGCTTCTCGTGGCCAGGGAGCCAACACCTGGGAGGAAACGAGTGGTGATGTGAAAGACACATACTGTGCCACCTCATTGTGTTTTTTATTTTTGCTTTCACTGGTCCATGTTTGCAGTATACAATGGCTGCATTCATCGTAGGGAGTCGGCCTGTGCACATTATACATCCTAATTATTCTTTTTGGCCCCTACCTGTTTGCAAAAGACCTATCTTCCTGGTTCCTATTATCCTACCACATTTACACTTTCCACTATTAGAGAGTTGGCAGAAAAGCAAAGTATTATGTTAAAATACTATTCCAGAGAAAACTGGGGATGGGGGGCAGACAGAATATCTTCACTGTTTAATTCTCAAAACTATAACCACTGGGGTAGAAACACACAGCGCTGCTTTGCGAATGAAGCTGTTCCAGACCCACGCTACAGACCAAGGCTCAGAATCGCAGGTGGGGAGATCACTGGAATTCAGCAGCAGCTGTGTTGTCGAGGTGGTTGGTAGCTGCCTCAGTGCTTTCCCGGCGACAGAGGGTAAAGACCAGCTCGTGGAAGAAAGTCCCGGTCACCTGGAATTCAGTGCCAGCTTGGAAGTCATTTATTATTTTTTCCCCTCTTTATTGCCTTGGTCTCCACTCTTTTTTTGTGTGTGTGTGTGTGTTTTTCTTTTTTATCGGTACCAGGGATCGAACTCACGACTACCTGCTTGCAAAGCAGGTACTTATGCCGCTGAGCTAAATCCCCAGCCCCCTTGGTCTCCATTCTTGCCATCCAGCAGGAATTCTGAGCAAGGAAGAATGGAGAGGAGAGAAACTAAAAAGCAAGCTTTCATTCCTTCACCGTGCTCAAGTCTGTGCCAGGCATTGTTTTGGGACTTGAAATACAAAATTGAACAAGACGTGGTCCCGGTCACCTGGGAGGTGGCATCCCAGTAATGAGAAATAACAAGGCTGTAGGTGGTGTCATGATGCGTAGCTGCCTGGGTGTGTGGGATTGTGGTGTCCTGTGGGGCTGTAGAAGTGGCCTCTGTGGGCTGTCCTCCAGCTGAGGGAGGCAGGTCAGGCTGAGGGGTTTCTCAGGGTGGGAAAGTAAAGTGGCTCAAGCGAAGACACCAAAGCAAGAGTCTTGTCTGGAATGGGCAAATCTGTAAGTTGCAAATGATTTCTCAGATGTGACTTAACTTCTTATGTCTCCCACAGCCACCTATAACCCCATCTCTCCTGCCTTTCCACTTAACACAAAAGACGTTAAAGCTGCTAACATGTCTTATTTCTCAGTACCAGAATAATCACAGGAGCCTCCTGAGCTCGGCTGTGACTTTAGGACTAGAACAACATTGGGGGTCCAAACCCATGGGGTCTGAAATAACTCCACATCAAAGCAGTAATGCCATGCGAGTTTGTACCAGTGGTCTCCTCCCCTGCCGTCCTGTTTTCCTTCCTTTCTTCCTTCCTTCCTTCCTTCCTTCCTTCCTTCCTTCCTTCATGCCCTTGGTAAAGGATTTAGATTTTGGGTTAAACATTAAATTTAACATATTTGGCTCTGAGGTGTGCATTGTGCCGCTGTGTTTAGTCCTCCATTATTTGAGAACTGAACAAGCCATTCTTTGTGGAGACCAGTCCAGAGCAAAAGATAGGTGCTTTGGGGACAGAAACGGACAAGTGGCTTAGATCAGCCAGTCCAGGTGGCTCATTCCAGGGCCTGGCAAGTGCAAGAACTGTCTTGTCATTCTTCAAAACTCTGTAGGGCCTGACACGATGGTGATTGTACCACTGCTGCCTGTGGACTGAGAAATTATGCTTATAGCTAAGCTTATACCTGATTCATTCACACATTTTTGAATGAATCTATATTACATTCATCACAGCAGCCTCTGCTTACATTGGAAAAGTGACAGAAGTCATTATTCATTTAGTCTGTTGACAAGGGGGTACAGTGGTGAGCTGTGGACGAGGCCTGGCCTGCAGGGCCTTTGTTGGCCCTGTACAGAGCTGCCTTGGTTCCGTGCTGCTCCTGCAGTTATTTTGTTTTCATCTGAATTAATTACCAATGTTTGGAAAACCAAGAGACTTCTGAAGGGGAGACTCACTGGCCATTGTCTGTTACATGATGCAAGAGAGAAGCGAGGTTGTGTGACCTGTGCTGAGCACAGAGCCGGCCTGGATCCCTGGTCTTCCTGATCATGATCCCGCCACTGTAACACTGTGCTGACACAGTACCTGGTGCCTGTCATTTCATCTTCCCTGCCTTCTGTCCCTTCTAAGTCCACCTGGTACCTAGAAGCCAGCGGGCAATGTCCCCCAGTGTAGTCTGTGGGTTTTCCCATCTACTAGGAACCCTCTTCCTCCCCTGTGTGTGTTTTCATCATTCATAACCCAGCTCCTGCGTGCACCCAGAGCAGGCTAATCCTCAGACGGTCCAAGCACATTATCTGATTGAAGGATTTAATAAACCCCCAAGTCAGTGTGCAAAGGCACATTTAATGTAAACTTAAATAATGTCAGCATGTTTCATTTTGAGAAAAAACTCCATAAGCTCCCTCTGGATAGGAACTTGATTCTTACTTGGCTTAATATGCATTAATATTGGAGTGTTAAGAACACTTCTCATGGTGCTCTGTGTGTATCACTGAAATTGAGTCTCACCTCACCATGTGGTGACCATTTCTGAGAGTAATATTGGGAATTCCTCCTGCCTTCAATTAAATGCAAGAAATTGTCATCTAAAAATTCCACCCCGCAATGACTTAGGACACAAGTCATGTGATGAAAACAATCTCTGAAAAGGGGGCAGGGAGGTAAGGAAAAACAGAGCGATGGGTGCGTAGAATCTGTTCCGCGGTGGACGGCAGACTTCTGCACTGCAGGAGGCCTCTCAGGCGTGAACCTCACCTGCTACACGTGTGCATGAATGATACTGTTTCCCCCCAATGAAGTCAGAAAAATACTTGGCACCTTTTTCTGTCCTTCATTTAGCATCAGGAATCCGGTCCTCACCTCCAGTCACGCAGCCCAGGGAAGCAGGCGACTTCCGCTCCATCTGGCTCACCCGTGTCCCTTCCCTTTCAGGTTCTACATCGAGAGCATCTCCTACCTGAAGGACAACGCCACCATCGAGCTCTTCTTCCTAAATGCCAAGTCCTGCATATATAAGGTAGGCACACCCCTTCCTGCTGTGGGGCCCATCCAAATCCGAAGGTCCCGTTGGAAGTGGGCTGTGCCACTAAGCTGGTTCTGTTGATCAGGAGAAGCGACTTATAAAGCAATTCCTGTCAGTAAAGGAGAACTTCATGAAATGAAGTCCTCAACCAAATGGCGTGATTCCTCTGATCCCATCACTGATCCTGGCTCTGCAGAGGTGTTCCAAACAAGGGTGACAGATGCACTTGTCAACTTAGGTCTCAAAAGGCTGCTATCAGAACTTCAGGGAGGCAGTTCTGTTCCCTTTCCTTTTAATGTGTGAAATACACATACATTTGTCCTCATCTTTTTCTGAGGTGCAGGGGATTGAATCCAGAGCCTCACTCACGCTAGACAAGTGCTGTGCTACATTCCCAGCCTGCCGTGACCATTTTTAAGTGTACAACCACCATCTCCAGAATTCTTCCCATCCTGCAGAGCTGAAACTCTGCACGCATGAAGCAGTAACTGCCCGTTCCCTTCTCTCATCAGCCCAGAAGTCCCCCTCTTCTTTCTGTTTCCATGAATTTGACTACTCGTAGCTCACGTAAGCGGAGCACCATGCAACAGTTGTCCTTTCGCGTCTGCTTACTTGCTTTGTGTCGTGTCTTAAGGCTTATCCATCGTGGTAGCATATGGCAGTTTCCTTTTTACAGCTGGATAATACTCTTTTGTTGTGTCTAACACACTTTATCCATTCATCCTTTGCTGGACATTTGTCCCAATTCTGCCGTTGGCTGTTGTGATTAATGTCACTGTGCACACAGGGACAACTGTCTCCCCTAAACACTGTTTTCAGTTCTATTAAGTACGTCCCCAGCAGTGGAATTGTTTGGCTCTACTTTACATGTTTGAAGAATGGTCGTTCTGTTTTTCGTAATGGCTGTAGTACCGTTTCGCATTCCCACCCACGGTGCACAGGCTGCTGGTTTCTCTGCATCCCACCAACAATTGTGATTTCCTGTTTGTATATTTTTCAAAGGTAAACAGCCTGATGGATATGAGAAGATATCTCACTGTGGTTTAGATCTGCATTTTCTAATGATCAGTGATACTGAGCATCTCTTCACATGCCTATTGACTATTTTTGCATCTTCTTTAGAGAAGTGTCTGCTCCAGAGATGATTTTTAATGAGTCAGACAATCACAGTCTTTCCCTCACAGTTTGTAGTGCTTCCTCTCATTGGAAAACCCATATTCCTGCACACATCTCTAGCACACAGCTCCTCTTTGAGAAGAGGCCTTTCAGAACACTACTTAGGTTGAGAACTACTGAAACTTATTTAAACACCTATTCATCTGACTGCCCAACATGTACATTGTCTTGGTCTGTTTTCCACTGCTGTAACAGAATACTTGAGACTGGGAATCTTACATGGTAAAGAGGTTGATTTAACTCAATGTTCTGGATACCAAGAGCATCTGCTCCACTCTGGTGAGTACATCATACCAGAGGGCATCACCATGGTGTGTGCGTGTGGCAGGGTGTTAAGTATATGTACAGAGAGATGGGCTTCACTGTGTAACAACTGACTCTTGTGAGAATCACTCCTCTCCTGTGAGATATAGCCCATCCACAGTAACTGCATTATTCGCTTCGTGGGGCACAATCTTGATGACCACTTCCTTTCCGGGAGGCTCCCCCTCCTCCAGAAGTCACCACCTTGGAACCACCACCCTGTGGACCAGGCTTCCAGCACATGAACCTTTAGGAAGCAAAGCACAGTGCACGTGATGACCCGTAACTGCAGCCTGCATTGTGCTTCCTGGGTCTGCTCCCTAGCAGTCACCGAGGAACAGTGAGCCCTGCAAAACCTGAATGGCTTGCAGGCTCAGAGCTGAGTGCTTTCTGTGGACTATCTAACTGGATCTTTATGATGTTCTCCAGTGAAGGCAAGGTGCGGGGCAGTCTGCTTGCCCAGTGATGGCAGAGTCAGCAGCTGTGGGGCAGCCTGACCCCTGTGGCAGAGCTCAGTGGCCCCCCTGTGCCCTGAGGCCAGGACTCTTGGCATAGGAGGATGCGATGCAGGCCTGCACATCCCCAAGAACTTCAAAGCCAAGCACGTCTGTGGATGAGGTGGTCACTGGGTGTCTGCACAAGATTTCAAGGAGGTCTCAGGGGGAAGTGCTAACTAAACTCTACTTTGGAGGATTGCAGAGGGCCAGCAAATTTAAGAGTTGAAATGGTGTGTGAGATGCCACTCTTCCTTCTGGAATGTGCTTCAACATGCACGTTGCACAGGATAATCCCACCAGGTGTGAACCCTGAAGGAAATGGAGACTTGGTTGTGGGGATCCTCAGTGCGGTGGGAAGACCTCGCCGAGGTGGTTGCTGAAACCAGACTGACCTCTGCCAGGCTGCACCCAGAGCACCTAGAGGATGGTATTTTTGGTCTTTGCTAAATGCAGAGAAAAGGCACTAATTGAAGTTCCAGGTACTTGAAATTCCTTCCTTTTAAGCCCCCATTTTCTCATTACAAAGAAGGAGTCATAATACTGTCCAGGCACCTCACATTTATTAAAAAAAAAAAAAAAAAAAATCAACATGAAAGTATGTTGAAAAGACCCAAAACTAGGTAGTGAGAATACTGCCCACCAGGGGGCAGTAAATGGCTACAAAGTTACTGAAGCTAGGAAACCAGCACTCAGCCTAGGAGGAAGAGCCTCACACCATGCTGGGTGTAGATAACAAGGGGAAGGGAGAGAAGACAGCTTCTTGCTTGGAGTCATTCACAGCTGGTCACAAATGCTGAGCCCAAACTGAGCACCATACACACCAAGGACATTGGGATTCATGGAAAATGAAAACAGGCGAGTAGACCCTCGGAAGTCAGTGTTACAGATTTTCCAAGTGAAGGTCACAATCCTCAGAGCCAGCCATGTTGACTGTCAGAGGGCCACCACCTCAGCCTGCCCACTGGACAAGGGGAGGGACCACAGTCTATAGCCCTAGCCTCAAAATCTGCCCTCAAGCTTCGTCGCACAGGTAACCACATGATGACCAGCGAATGCCACTAGCAAGTGTATACAGAAAGCCAAACAATGTCACGTGACCACTGTCTCCCCCAGAGTCAAATGCCAGAGACCTGGCCAAGATCCCAAACTACCTGTATGGTATAAGATGAAGGAAAACAGAAACAGATTTAGGAATACACAGAAGCAGGCCTGGCGGTCTGTGTCTCCAGATGGCAAAGTCAGAGATTCTCCAACCTTGCCACTGATGGAGCACTGCACACATTTTAAAAGGGGCCCTGCGTGAGTCCAGGAACAGCAACAGCGATTGCTGTGGGCTTTGTAAAGAAAAAAAAGCCTTCTTGCATGAATAAGGCATGGGTTAAAAAGAAGCTGTTTTCCCCCAGCCAGGTGAAACTTTTGCTAATGCTATTGCTCTGTCACTCTCAGCAGGTCTTCATTTTGTCCTGGGAGGACAAGATTCTGTGGTCTCCCTGCCAGGTCCAGGTACCAACTGGGGCTTCCATGGAGCTCTCGGTCGGTGAGACAAAGTACACACCCCCGTCTCAGATCCCATCTATTATAGATTCTGGTCCCCAACAGTCAAAGGTAATACTCTTACTTGTGTGAACTCACAGAATTTACAAAAGCTTTGTTGCACTGTTTGCCTGGAGCCCCCTTACCTCTAAATGAGTAGAGGAGGAGTCCTTTGCTTACTAAAGAAGGAAGCTGGTGTTGAGAGAAGCGAGGTGCCTGACTCAAGGAGAAGGAGCTGGGCAGCAGCTGGACTTCCCAGTGTCCACTGCTGTGAACGCGTACCGAGAAGAGGGCGCTGTGGAGCCGAGTGATGAGGAATTTAGGTTTTGCTGTGCCAGACTAAGGTTCCCTTCCTGATTCCTGATTTAGTAAAATGCCCTACCTGCGAGAACCTCTCAGGAGGACACCAAAATGCGTTTTCATCATTGAGAAGGTTATCGAAGCCGCTGCCTATGCCTGCTTAGGAGGACGCATATTCAGCTCTGTCCCATGCTTGACTCTCGCCACCCGGATGCAGACCAGAGCAGGTTCTTTGAGCCCTGACCTTCGTGCCATCCTCATGGGCCACGGCACTGGTGAGGTCTGTACCACTGTCCTAGGCTTGGATTGAACCTGAAGTTCAATGTCTACACCCTGCCCGTTTCCTGGGATGGATTCCCACAGTGGGTCATAGTGTAAATTGTTTTAGGTAAAATAAGCTGCCAACCCTGCTTCCTCAAAGTCTGATTTTGTTCGCATTTAAAATCATTAGGATTTGGGGGGCTGGGGATTTAGCTCAGCAGCATAAGCACCTGCCTTGCAAGCAGGCGGTCGTGAGTTCGATCCCTGGTACCGATAAAAATGAAAAAAGACAAAAAAAAAATCATTAGGATTTGGGATGGGGATTTAGCTCAGTGGCATAAGCACCTGTCTTGCAAGCAGGCGGTCATGAGTTGGATCTCCGGTACCCATAAAAAAGAAAAAGAAAAAAAATCATTAGGATTCGTTTTTATTAGGAACTGGGATGTAGCTCAGTAAAACCTAGCATGTGCGACATCCTGGGTTCAATCTCCAGCAGCACAGAGTTTTATTTTTACAAAGTAACAGGTGGTTCGAAGACTGATTATGAAAAGGTCCCTCCTTCTCTCCCATCCAAGTCCTACCTCTTTCAACAATTTTAACTGTTTCTTTTGTATTTGGCTCTGTTTTTCTAAATAAATGGCGTGGTTTTTCCCTGGTTTGTCCATGTTGGATTTATTGAATTTTCTTTAGGATAAGAAAGAACTGGAGTGTCCCTTACAGCCACTCCCACTGTCCCCATTTCCTCAATAGGGTCATCATTCTAGGTTCAAGAGTCAGCTGCATGATGTTGCCGTGACTAACCCAAGTCATATCCTGTGGTTGCAATTTTTGAGACAAATAGTTGTTTTATTACCTCAGGGGACAATTGCCTTGCTTTTACCTGCTTAGTTTCTATGCACCCTTTGCTTTTATCCAAAATCTGCA